GTAACTTTACTTGGCATTTAATCTCTTTCCAAATGCCCAGGAAGTTTAGACCCATGAAAAAGTCAACTAAAGTCACTGGGCAACCCCTTCCATTATGTTCTACGTAAAACATATATGTTATAAACTATTGTGACTGGGATGCAGGAAAATTAGGATTACAATTTCCCATTTGATTTTGTTTTGTGACCTTGATCAAGTCCACCACTTTCTTTGTAAAATTAATGTTGCACAAGAGTACTGAAAGGATTATATAACGTAATAAAAGGTTAAGATTCCTTGGAAAAGAGTAGGAGCATGATTCTTTTCTCAGTGACTTCATGGAGTAACAAGCTGAATTGAAGGAGACGTGATCCTTTCACTTTTTGTGTAGGTAGAGTTGTCAAAGGGTATCCCTGGGAATCTCTTGAAAGGAAACATTCATTTTGCATTCACTCCTTACTTTGTATTTCTACTTCAGCACTTTCATCCCTGTTACTACTTATGCCTCGTTTGGCATGTGTTCTCTTGTCTTCCCCTTCTCTGCTCACAAATTTGTGAGAGTTGCACAGGGTGAAGGATGACTTCTCCTTAAGCTGCAGAGAAGTGTGGAGTTCATCTGATTTTAGAAAAAGCCTCTGTTTTTTACCATCTCTTTCAGAAGAGAGACTTGGAAACTGGGCATCCTTCAATACCTTCTTCAGCTCTGACACCATATGAGTATGCACGATGCCTCGTTTCTAAGTTTTTGGAGCTATTGTATTTAAGATGGCTCCATAGGTCAGCAGAAACAATTACTAAAGTTGGGTAGGTTTCAGGGTTCTTAGGGGCTGAAAATGTAATCTTGTTCTGAAAAACAAGAGCCAGACAGATTATTTAGGTCTTATGTCTTAAGACCTGTCTTACCTCTATAGTTGCCATCCTATGATTCTTTACAAGCTTTTTTTTTTTATTTTTTTTTTTTTTGTCTTTTGTCTTTTTCCGTGTCCGGCAATGGATCGCAACCCTCAGTGTTGCCCCCACACCGGACCGGGGACCGGCAATGGGACCGCAACCCTCAGTGTCGCTCCCGCACCTCGCTCAGCCAGTGAGCGGCCGGTCTGTATGTGGGACCCGACCCCTCGGGCGGGAGCGCCGCCGCGCTTCCCAAGCGGCGCACTTATCCAGTGCGCCACCTGGCCGGCCCCCTTTACAAGCTTTTAATCCTCATCCTTCCTCCACTAGCATTCCAGTTACAGCTTCTTTGACCAGTCATTATCTCAAGCTATATACTGTAACTCAAGTCCAGTTCTTTCAAATGCTTGACACAAATACCAAACTGAAACCAACTCTTGGCTGTGGCCTTTTAAAAACAAACAAACAAAAGACCTGCCTTTTTCTAATCTTTAGGAAACCTAAGGTCTAACTTAATTCTATTTCTATTTTTCCAACTGCAGTCCTTGGCAACCCATTCAGGATCACATGTACTTTAAAAATATCCAAAAATGGGCGTTAATGAAAAAGAAGCTAGCTACAGATCGTATTATTCTGTAATGTCAGAAATAACTTTTGAGGAATGTTAAAATTATGTGGGTACAGCTACAGTGGAAAACTTTAAGTTTCTTATGAAATTGAGCAGACACTTAGTATACAACCCAGAAATTATACTCTTGGGCATTTATCTCAGAGAAATAAGAACATGACAGAGAAAAACCTGTACACAAATATCTACAGCAGCTTAATTTGTAATAGCTAAAAATAGTAAACAATTCAAATGTCTACAGACAGGTGAATGGTTAAACTATGGTACATCCATACCACGGACCACTACTTTTCAACAAAAAGGAATGCACTATTGCTACACACAACAACTTAAATAGATTATGCTGAATGGAAAAGCCAATCTCATAAGGTTGTATATAATTCTAGGTATAGTCATGCGTCACTTAACAGGAATACATTCTGAGAGTGCGTCGTTAGATTTCATCGTTGGGCGAAAGCGTATTATGAAAGGAAACAGAAATGAACTATCCTATTATCTACACTGGCCACTAGTTGCATGAGTGTGGGACCTCTAATTATGTTACTAAGTCTCCCCGAATCTCATCTGTTAAGCAGGGATTAGAATAATACCACCCCCACAAAATTATGAAAATCAAATTACAGGTAAGAATTGTGCCTGGCACTCAGAAAGCACTCAGTGAGTGTTAGTTAACTGTTATTAACTATTTTGTTATGGGGATAGGGAGAATCATTTATAAAGGCAAGAATCCTAAAGTAGACAACAGCCCTCTCACTTGGGGTCAGACCTAATGTGGCAAATGCTTGGCTTTCTATCTTAAAGGTCTGAGCTACTTTGGGGAGGGTCACCTGTGGGTAAGCTAGGCACTAGATTATTTTGCAGTAGGCTTGTTTACACCAGCACACCACAAACATGTGAATGATTGTTATGATGGCTATGCTGTCACTAGATAACAATTTTTCAGCTTCCTTATAGTCTTACAGGACCACTATTATATATATATAGTCCATTGCTGATCAAAACATTGTTATGTGGTACGGGACTGCATGTAATATTTTCAAAATGATTGTATTATAGAGACGAACAGATTAGGAGTTGCCAAGAGTTGGGGATGGTGAGAGGATGAGTGTGTGAGTGTTATTATCCAGGGGTGGCACAAGAAAGATCCTTTGTGGTGGTAAGACATTTGTGCATCTTGATTGTGGTGGTGGTTATACAAATCCGTGCTTGGAATAAAGTTGCATAAAGCCATACACACAAATGAGCATATGTAAAATATAGTGAAGTGTGAGGAAGGTCTGTAGATTGTAAGTTTTCTGATTTGAACATTGTTCTATAGTTGTCTAAGGTGGCACATTGGGGAAGCTGGGTGAAGAGTACATAGAAGAATCTGTACTATTTTTGCAAATTCCTATGAGTCTATAATCATTTGAAAATAAAAGTTAAAGAATAAAAAAAGTGAGATCTCAAAAAGCTGTGTTGTACATTTCACATAAATGAAATAATATGTTGCAAGTAGTATCACCATCTCACAGATAATGAAATTGAGCCTAACCCAAGTTAAATTTCTTGTTCAAGAATGTACAGCATATTCAGGTTGTCAAGCTCAGATGTGTGAGTTCAAAGCTTTTCCACCATGGTGCTTCCAAGGAAACTTAACCAAAAATTTTTTCATTAAGCTTTCCACTTTTAGCAGTGTGGAATCCAGATTGGGGTTTCTCAACTTTGGCACTATTGACATTTGGGTCCAGATTCTTTTTTGTTTTAAAGGAGTTGTCCTGTGCATCGTAGAATGTCTAGTATCATCCCTTATCTCTGATCACTGAATGCCAGTGGCACCCCCTCCCCAGTTGTGACAATAAAAAATGTCTCCAGACTTGGCCAAATGTCTCCTGGGGGATACAATTGACCATGGTGACTTGCTACCTATTGTCAGCAGTATTACAAGCATGCATTTTCCACTGGTTCCATTTGCATACCCAACATTTTTGTACACAACAGTAACAGTTTTAACTTACATATTGTAATTGTACATATTTATGGGGTACAATCTGATATTTTGATACATATATATGTTGTGTAATAAGGGGGTCAGAGTAGCTAATGTATCAATCACCTCATGCATTTATCATTTTGATGTGGTGAAAATATTCAAACATCTCCCCTTTAGCTATTATGTAATATGCACTACTTAACTGTTAACCTTAGTCACCGTACTGTGCAATAGAATATCGGGACTTATTCCTTCTAATAGTAATTTTGTACCTGTTGGCCAACCTCTCCCTTGTCACCCCTGCTCCTGTCCTTCCTTCCCTAGTCTCATGTAAACATGGAAACATTTAATATTTGCATATTCTTTCTCTTGACCTAGTCTCTGGGCATAGTTACCTAACTCTCAGTCTCTCCCTGAGATTCTATGAGATAGCTAAATTCCTGCTATAAGTTGCTGTTCTGCATCAATTAGCTGAGATGTGTTATGTTATACGTAATTGAGGACTATAATTGATATAAGAAGCTTTATTTATTTAAAGAAAATGTAATTTTATTAATATTTTTTACATTCTAGGATGTTATGGAGCAGTTGGATGCCAGAGAGGGGAAACGCAAAGGAAATGGGATGAAAGGAGGAAGAAGGAAGAGGGGTGGGATTGAGGCCTGTGGCACTCCCCTCATTCCCACAGGGGTGACTGCAGGGCTTCCGGGGGTGGCTTTGTCATTGCCAGGCTGGGTGCAAATGTCGGGGGTGTGGCAAAAGCCCTCCCCCTCCACCATCCCAGCTTGGGAACTCAGGACCCTTCTTGCTGTGCCTTGGTGGTCATCACTGGGCTGGTTGCACATGTCCGGGTGTGTGTGGCAGAAGCCTGAGGCCCCCCACAGCCCCGGCTCAGGGGAGCCCGGGGAGCTTCCTGTGGCAGCTTGGTGATCCCTGCTGAGCTGGCTGTGGGTGTCGGGAGGGTGTGGCTGAGGCCCTTGGTCCCCCACTACCTGCCTAGGGAGAGCCCCAGGTGAGAAGCTTATCTTTAAATTTTTTATTTCTTTCGTCAGTGTTTTGTACTTTTCAGTGTACAGATCTTTTACCTCCTATAGTTAAGGAGTGTCTTAAGTGTCATTTTGATGCTATTGTAAATGTGATTGTTTTCTTGATTTCTTTGTTGTTGTAAAAAAAAGATACTGATTTTTGAATGTTGACTTTACATCCTGAGACTTGATGAATTTGTTTATTAGTTATATAACAGTATTTTTTAATGTAGTCTTCAGTGTTTTCTGCATATAGGGTGATGCTATCTGCAAACAAATAATTTTCTTATTTCTTTACAGTTTGGATGACTTTTATTTCTCATCTAACTGCTGTAACTAGAACTTCTAGTACTATGTTGAAAAGAACTGACCACAGTAGACATCCTTTCCTTGGACTAAATCTTAAAGGAAAAGCTTTCAGTTTTTCCCATTCACTATGCTGTTAGCTGTGGGCTTTTCATAAGTGGACTTTATTGTGTTAAGTTCATTCTATACCCAGTTTGTT